ACAGGGTGCTCTTCTATCAGTCTTCTTACCACCATGACCAAGTTGCGAAAACAAGGTCAAACAACGTCTATGCAACGAAAGGAGGCTGCGACCACACAAAAGGCCACACCATCTTGGTCTTTATATCTTCGAATAACTCTGAAGGTTCAAAACTATGCACAGGCTCCAGACAAATAGCCAAAAGTGAAAGAAGCTCACATTCACACTAATCAGGCTGATTGTTCGCTGTACTGCTTAACAATGAGTTTCGTGACCAGAAGGATTGGGATAATTATTAGACTAACCTCGATAATTGACATCACCGGAAATGTCAACAAGTCACAAAATCACTCAAGCATGCTCCACCTCGGTGGCGATCGGGACTCGTTGAGAAACCGACCTGCTCAACTTTGTGGGTTAGTAGTCAAGTGAGTCTTTTTTTGCATGTATCTTTCTATTTTCTATGCTTCATGGTCCAAAAGTCCTTCACGGTTTGAAAATGCCATTCATACGACAAATCTCCAGTTAGGCCTCACGATTGTTGCGACTTATACGTAGTTCATTCGGACAAGAATATAGATAGACGTTTGCTAGGATAGATGGTTGAATGGTAGGGATGCTAGCAATTTTTTATTGCCCCTCTATAAATGGCTTTTTCATTTTACATTTTTTTATGATTATCCTTTCGAGATGCCTTAAGAGTACGCAAATTTGGCATTTTTCCGCGATTGCCTTGATCGGAAGCGTGTCAAATTAAGGCACGCGGTGAATGCCATGGTCGTAACTCAAAACGTCTACTACCATTTTGCTAGCCCTTTTGCGTAATGATCCTTCAATTTCAGAATTATCCCCTTCTTTCTTCCATCTGATTCCGATGTGACAGGATGACAACAATCACCACTGGAAGGGTCAACAAAATGTATCAGGAAAGGTATGTAGAAAAGGTGGGTTTAGAAGAATTCCTTTATAGATTGATGTTGCAGTACCTTTCTTTTCGTTTGAATAGACGAGTGGAAGAGATTCGTAAGTTGGTTCCACCGAAAGCTGTAGAGTGATTGTGGATTTGTGTGAATGGCTTCTCGACGCTTTGCCCTGCGACGAGCTTTCGTCCGTCATGTGACGGACATTGTCAGAGCAGGACAGCATGCTTAATGATAATTCACCCAAACATGAAGACAAGAAAGGAGGCCGAGCAAGAGGAGGAGGCTTGGTCAGGCTGGAATTTGGTTTTTGACGCTCAAATCACACTTATTTCAAGAGCAATGCACTCACACAACACGCATGCGGTAACGTAGTAGGCTCAAAAGCATACCTGTTTTGGGGGGGAGGGGATGTGGATGTTCGGTTTCAATTACACCCGCTTCATGCTTCATCCGCAGCCGCTTAACTTCACTTTTCAGCAAACATTTACGCAAAGCATAGGACATCCAAGAAAAACATGAGATGCATAAGTGGACCAAAGTGGAATACAAGAAGGAAGTCGGTTTGAAACCGG